AGAATCTCTCTGGAAACATTTCTACATACCAAGATTATCCAATCTTACTCAAGCTATTGTTCAAAGATGTGTTTTGTGTGCTCGAAACAATGCAAGACAAGGCCCTGTCAAACCCCCTGGAGTTCAATATATCGGAGGACTCCCAATGTCAGATTTGCAAATAGACTACACTGTAATGCCTAAATCTGGGGAATATCATAACTTGTTGGTAGCTGTGTGTACCTACTCAGGTTGGGTAGAAGCTTGTCCAACTCGTACAGAAAAGGCAGGAGAAGTTGTACGATTTCTGTTGCGAGAAGTTATACCCAGATATGGGCTTCCGTGTTCTATCGGATCAGACAATGGTCCAGCCTTTATCCATCAGTGTTTACAATTGACTCATGTGCTTGGTATTAAGTGGAAACTTCATACAGCATATAGACCTCAGAGTTCTGGAAAGGATGAACAGAACAATAAAAACCCAATTGGCTAAAATGTGTCAGGAAACTCAGCTCAAGTGGAATGTCCTTTTGCCAATAGCTCTGTTGCGGATACGTAGTACTCCTACCAGAAGAATGGGTCTGTCTCCTTTTGAAATCGTGTATGGGCATCCACCTCCCATACTCAGTAATCTAAGGGGGGACTTGAATCAGTTGGGTGAAGGAATTACTCGGCAGCAGGTTATAGAGTTGGGTAAAACTATGGAGGAAGTACAGAAATGGGTGCAAGATAGGTTACCTGTGAACATATATCCACCTGTTCATTCCTATCAACCGAGAGATCAAGCGTGGATAAAAGAATGGAATATTGTTCCATTAGGTCCAAAGTGGAGGGGTCCTTATGTTGTTCTTTTATCTACTCCATCAGCTGTAAAGGTGGCAGAAGTGACTCCGTGGATTCATCATTCTAGGGTTAAACCAGCGGCAGATTCTTGGCAAGCTATTCCAGATTCTGAAAATCCTTGCAAGATCCGGTTAAAGCTGGTAGCTCAGTCGGAGTGAGAAATAATACGAGGAGATATTGGGACATCTTTGTTGAAAGTAACAACAGATATCAGCAAGGTGGTCAGGCTTTATTTACAGCCATAAAAAAGCCTGACCACCTACCTACGTGTCATAGCCAGAGTGTCTCGAAGGGACCTCTGTGAAGAAAAGTGAGGATCAAAAGAACGAAAATCCTTGCAGCCCTCACAATCGGGAAGCTGAGGTGCTATCGCACGGTCGAAGAGTAGAAATGAGGACTTCTGAAATAATATGTTATATTATGTGTTTAGGCATTTTTGTGATTTTTTTCAGGAAGGTAAAGGTGAGGACATACAGAGTTGTGTTAGCTGTATTAAGACTACAAAAACAGGTAACCAAATATCCCAAATTCTCTTTTGGCACTCACAGTATGAGTGTAGGGGATCTGTATCTAAGTGTAGATATTTAGATATAGATTACAGTGTGTGCAAACCAATATCAGGAGAGCCTAAATGTTTTGATCCCCAATTCCAACCCTGTACAATTTGGTTGGTAATTCGGAACAGTAACTCCCAGGGGACCTTGATAAATAGGACTGTGATAAATACCATACATTCTACGGGTATTCTACTATTTGATGCACGTAAGGTGATCTCTGGTAGTGGAAAACCTTGGAATGTATGTGGTAATCTTAAATGGGAACAAACTTATGGGTTTAATGATAAATATTTATGTCCCAGTAAGAGATCTACTGATCCTGATTGCCCAAATAGGGATTTTAATTTTTGTCCATATTGGTCTTGTGTAGGGTGTGCGACCTGGGGAAAAACAGTGGATCAAGATATGATTATCCAAAGGTTGCCCACTACACCACACTGTAAGTCTATGGAATGTAATCCTGTCCATTTGACCATCTCTAATCCACAACATTTTATTGATAAGTTTGGAAATCTATTTGGGTTCCAAATATATGGCACAGGAGTAGATCCAGGGACCATAATATATGTAGGACTTGAAACTGAGACGATAGCAACTCAAACTCATCAGGTTTTTCATTCCTTCTATGAGGAGATGAGTGTTGAGGATAAAATTCCCCATAATGTTAAGAACCTATTTATTGATTTGGCTGAGAGTATTGCGGGTAGTCTTAATGTAACTAATTGCTTTGTATGTGGAGGTACTAATTGGGAGACCAGTGGCCATGGGAGGCAAAGGAAGTATGGTACCCTGGTTCTGAGACAGATGAACAACAAATACTTTCTCAGTCTGACCATCAAGTAAGTACTAGAGGTAAATCAGAGTGGCTGTTAAAAACCTCCATTATAGGTCATGTATGTTTAGCCAGGAAAGGGCCATTGTATACCACACCTGTTGGCGAGTTAATATGTCTAGGACAGAAGGCCTTTAATGCCGATACTAAAGATACTACTTGGTGGTCAGCTTCAAATGTCTCAGAGCCTACTAATCCGTTTGCCAATTACACCCATTTCAAAGAGGTATGGTTTGACTTATCTGCTACATCCAATTGGAAAGCCCCAGCGAATTTATATCGGATCTGTGGTAAGAAAGCATATTCAGAGTTACCACAAGATTGGGAAGGGGCATGTGTATTAGGTATGCTCAAACCATCCTTCTTCTTGTTGCCAATTGAGACAGGAGAG